CAATATTCGTAATGAATTTTTTAACTTTTGAGTTATCTGCACATGTTATGAATACTTTAGTTGGTCTAAGTTTTCTTTATTTTTCATGGTTGTTTTGTCGGTTTTCAGCAACTCATGCTCCATTTAAGTCAAAGAAACTGCCAGAAGTTAGAAGGCCAGAAGTGCAGCTTGATTCGTCTCGCAATATCCTCCGACTGGGTGCTCCGGAACGACATGTTGCGTAAGTTGTTACACATTTTTTTTTTTGGACCAAAGCATTAATCACAATTAAAAGTATAAACTAGTAGACTATGATCACAACGAGAAGTTTTTTTAGAGGGTAATAACCTGAAGTATGAGCACATTTTTTATGCTTAATTATCTATTTGTAAATACGTGCAAATGTTATTGCTTGGAAATTTTGTGATGTAAAATCATTTCAAAGTTAGTATCTGCAGTGAAAATTGTAGACAGTATTATCCCCTCCTTAATTCTTCGTACAATTTGGTGAAATTTTATATTTTTCTGTAAGTTAGACTGAGAACTTGTAAATCAAAAAGATATTATCAGAGGATTAGTTTCTTAATCATTTCATTTTACAGATTTTTCACTTTGTTGACTCCATTTCGATTCGGTTGCGAGATATTTATGATGAGATTTAATCTGAATACCTTTTTAGCTCAAATCAATCTCGTCGTGAATATCGGTTGAATGAAAATGAATCGTATTTTTCACTTTCAAAGACTGGTCAGCTTCATACAGCTAAAGCTGTTAAATTTTATTCGCCATCCATCACATCTGGTAGTTTTCAAGTGCAAGGTAATTTTGTCTTTCCGTTTTTTGGAATTTTTTGCACGTGGCTTTTCCAGGAGTATTTCACATGACATTCCAAAATCAATCACGCTGCGTCTTAGTTATCGACAGTTTCAGGTAGATATTACAAACAAAGCGTTTCCGGATATCATTGCATCTAAAAATTCAAAAACTATGAAGATCCACTTAAATCAGACAATAAGTTAACGTTGGATTGGGATTACGGACTTAAAAAACCAAAGTTATAATTTATAAGTTTTATACATACCCACATAGAAAGCTGTCTATTTTTGTTTGATATCGAAGTCTTGTGGAATATCACCATCTTTTTACAAATGCATTCTCTGTTCACTTTTTAAAATCATGGAACAATTAAAAACAGTCAAAGCAAATTTGGTTTTTTTACAGGTTCTAATGCTTGGAATCGGAATCAAATAGTAGCAGATTCAAATAGGGGAAGTAAAATCAAAAAGAATAGTGAGAAACGAGTCTTACCATTGATGAATATATCTGAATTTATGCCATACGAAAGCGCAGAAACAATAAAGGAAGAAATCAGGAACACTTCTGTACTCGATTGTTTAACTCGAAATCTTTTTCAAGTCTTAAACCGCATGAAACTATCAGAAAACGCGACAGTCTTTACGACTTCATATGCTGTTCCTCTCTTAACAATCACCGATACCCCATTATTACATCATAAAGCGATGAATTCAGTGGTAGAATTTGAAGTTCCTCTTGAAAAAAGAAATAATCGAGCGTATGCGCTCAGTACTGAATCATCTATTGCGCAACGGCAGTCAACTACTATGGAGGATGTACTTGAAACGACATCAAAAATAAATGCAGAAAGCTCGACTCCACCAAGAATAATGTCCAATCTGACTCTTACAACAAGCCAAATGCCTTTTAGCTCTTCGGACAAAGATACTTCATCATTCGCTTTTCTAGCCAATATAAACATGAGAAATAAATCAGCTGACATTACCACAAACTTCAAAAATGTAACAGAAAGTAGCAGTGAACCCAATATGAGTAGTACTGACTTTCAAAAGCAACCAGGCTTTTCATTGAGTGAAATTTCAGAAAATTCGGGAAGTATTCCTAACATGCTACCACAAGTCGGTTCTCTGCAAAATAGGAAAGGTTTACTCCAAAAAATGGGTCTTATACCCTCTTCTAACAAAATACTCATTCAGCCAAGTATTCAATCATTCTCACCATTTCATTCTTATAAAACCAATGAAACTATTACTTCTGTTAATGTGTCATCATCAGATAAGCAGATATTCTCTATAAAAGTGGCTTCCAAAAATACTACATATTTTGTGCCAATAATAATTGATGTAGCTCACGGACGTACTTTTGTAGTAGATGCTTCAACTCCTAAAAACATCATTCTACCAGGATCTTCCTCTTTTTCATCAAAGGAAATGGAAGCGAAGTTGGAAAGTTTGGATGATCTTCAGCAATTAATATCCAACTTGCAAAAAAGGATAGGTCCCAAATATTACGAATCATATAGTGAATATCTCAAAGTTCACCATACCTTACCTACCTCAGATGCCAAAAACAACAGCGTTGATCTTAATACTGATCAACATCATGCTCAAAATGAAACCTATTTGAAACAGCTTTCGAATCAAACACTCTCGAGTGATAAACATGTCAATACTACGGACATAAGATCAGAATCTAGTCAAACTAAGACGAGCAGCCAAACTACTATTCAACCGTCTCGCACAAATATTTCTCATGGCAAAAGGGTTTATAATGATTTTAAAATCTTTGCTTCAAATTATTCCTAATAAAAAATTTGAGAAGTTACAATTCATAAATTTAGTTCGTCAATAGAGTCAAAATATGAATAAATAATTACGATGATTTGTAATCTAGTAGATATAAAGGTATTGAAGGAAGTGGTAAATAAACTCAAAAATGGAAAAAAAGTTGCAGTTAAAAGATTTTAAATGTTTACATAGTCGTTAAGGTATTAAATTGAGATTCTACATCGTAAACTTTTACCTTACTGAAATATCGATGATTTATTTTGATTTGCTGAAAACTCTTAATTAATTAAATATAAGCAAAAATTTTAAAAAAATTGAATATTTGTAACTATAAAAAGTATTTTCAGATTTTTGAAACGAATCAGCAAACCAACTGGCATTCATTTTTCAAAGGTAATGTACGATGTTTTCATGGCAAAAATCAGTAATAATTTTTTCGCTGCAGCGCTCTCCTTACTTTCTTTATTGTCGTGGAAAATGTTCGTAATATACTTTCAATTTTACATTCTCTTGATCTTATTAAATATTAAAATTTCTTTCGTTCAATTGTTCAGCCACATGGGTTTCTTTCGTTCAGTTGTTCAGCCACATAGATTTCTTTCGTTCAATTGTTCAGCCACATAGATTTCTGTTGTTCAATTGTTTAGCCACATAGATTTCTGTCGTTCAATTGTTCAGCCACATAGATTTCCGGAAGCAACTTATTTGATTTCATTTTTTAATTAAAGCAACATGTAATATGTTTATGATTAAGGCTAAAGTATTTCATATACTGAAAGATAAAAATATTAGTTAAAAACATGGATTTTAAAAATTTGCAAATGCAAATACTGTTTATTTTATACATTTGAAATCTCGGCATTTAAAATAAAGGCTGTAAGAGAAAACATCAAGTGAACATACTATTTCTATTTTTTCATGACTTCAGGTTAGAATAGAAAATTCTTTTGTGGAGCAAATTAGTATGAGTGTAAGGAACAAAGTTTAGTGTTGACAGTCATATAGATCTTGTGAGAAACTTTGAGATTTGATACAAACAATGTATTAAATGATGCTCGGTGAATGTACAAGAAAGGTTGTTCCAAATGTATCAGTTTAGGTATTTTGAAGCGAGGTTTTTATGAAACAGAGTATCACAACTTTTCATTTAATCTGATTTTGTAGTAAAACGATTATATTAATCTTTTTACTTTTCAAAGCAAAAATTGGTTATTAAACTTCTCGTCATAAACTATAAATATAGAAAAAGCTAATTCTTTTTCACTCCAATCAAGTCAATTAGATAAAGATATAAAATTAATTAATAAACATTGATAATCATTTTGTGTTTGAATCTTGAAAGCTTTCAGGAAAGCAAGCACAATCGCTAGAAACTCTGTCATCACCACTTCCATCAATGAAATTCATCAGATTCCTTATAAGCAACAAAAATGCATCAGAAGTTACTGCGAGCAACACTAATTTGTCACCAGAAATTGCTGCAGTTATGCGAAGTTCTAACAATAAAACGTCGAAAAATGGACAATATAAAAAGTCACTGTCAACACAAGTTTCCAATGAAAGTTATGCAGTAGTTAATTATCCTCAGTCTAATCATTTCAGTCACAAAGGTCATTCGAGTAAGCCACTTACAATTACTATCAAATAGTAAAGTTCCGGAGATTTCCAAAATTTTGATTTTTATAGACAGTTTTGAAAGAACTCAGTGTTATCATTTTGCTAAAAAGGCTGTTAAAAGTTCTTACTGTGCTTTTTGCTAAAAAACTACTCTGCTTTTGCTTATTTTAGAAATTTAAATATTTAGTAAAGTAATTAAAAATAAAGAACAAGTGTTAGCTTTTGAAATTATATCTGTTTAATTTCTACAGCTACAACAAAAGTTTTGAAATTTGAAAACTATACGTCGTTTTAGACTCCCTGCAAGTCATCCGTGAAAAGAAAAAAAAACTAACATCGTCACTATATGGAGCAACAACAACAGCAGGCTCCTTCAAGAGACATAACATATCATGGACTAAGTTCAGACATCCTAGCTACTTTGCTATCCTACAAATACCAAAATCGAAGACACTTTCACAAGCATTTGCTGTTAACTTTAATTTAGGTGCAAACACACCTTCGACAAAATTACCAGCCATCAAAGCACTGAACTATTCTTCAATTACCTTACCTACGTTAATCATCTCTTCGTTATCAGAAGCTTCATCAACTACACCATTGATTAGTGTTTCATCATCAAAGGTGCAACGGAAAGAAACTGATTCTGATCATTCCAGCAAGGATTTCAGAGTGAGATTACTTCACGGGAATAGAAAATCATTAGGAGCAAAACCAAGGAATACAGTGGTATATTACTCGAATAAAGTGGATATAACCAATCCAGAAGTTCCACTTACTAATAATATAAATGGCCATAATGATTATCACGACAGTAAAATTGACGATTCTAGAATAAATATTCTACAAAAAACGATTCCCATCTCCAGTGAAAGTAGCGAAGTATGTTTGTTTTCGTGTCACTGCTTTTCTATATCTGTGATTCGCTTATAGCAAATGCTGATCTAGATAGTAGCGTCTATTGTTAAAGATTTTTTCTATAGAATCACATTTCAAACTCATTTTGATTATATTTTTCAATGAAGTATACAGCTGTTTACATTTAAAAGTAATTAAAACGACAGTGTGATTAAATCGTTAAGGAAAAAAAAGCACACTGTGTTGAGATTTGTGAGAATCCGTTCAAAAATAAGGGAAAATGATATTGAAGACACCAAGAAAGATTTTCATTTGTTTTAGATTACCAATACCGAGACATCCTCCAGTTTCAGTTTTCATGAAAATGAAGATAACACTGATGGCATTGCTATAGTAAGTGCAATATATTTGGTATTTCTAACCGAATTTTTGAATTTCCACTTACTTTTTGAGCAAACGACCCTTACCAGTGAAATCATTCATCATTTAAATATTGAACAACAAACTTTGTAACGTAAAATTTAAAACTTGTTCACTAAAATGATTAATTAACCCATTTTGCAATGTGATTTTTGTTTTCTAAAATCTTTTCATCAGTTATTAAATGTTAGCCTTTTTTTTCGGTTGATCAAAATCGCGATTTACATCGAAGTGAAGGTCCTATCAATAGAGTAAGAGCTCAAAACTTGGGTAATTATCAGTCGAGCTTATTTTCAGGTTTTTGTTCGCTATTATAAAAAAACCAACTAAATGTCCTAGAATGTGACACTAAAAGCGTTTAGAAAGAATCAGTAGTTTAATGAGAGCAGTTCATACATTTTGTAAATTGAATCCATGCAATAAATTTTATCTTCTATTCCTCAATTATAGAATTAAAAAACTGCATTTAACGTGTTTATCACTGGCGTTTCTGATAAATTAGTGATTTTTCAATAACTACTTATGCAGAAGAAAGTTGGAATCGCGATGTTAATCACACATCCTATCATCCATCTATTTCACGTGTCAACGATTCCATGCCTAGAAATGTAATTGACAGACTTGAATACCATAATGCAATGAAAGAAAAAATTAACAAAGCAGTAAATACAGATTTCACATCAATAATTCATATGCCTTCTGTTCCCATCACGCAAAAACCACTTGTAAACAGTGCGCACCTTTATAGTGGCTATGGTTTGTATCTTTTATTATTTATTTCTTCTTTATTTTTAATTCATTTCCTCCTGTCATATTTTGTAGTTACATTTTCATAGGAAGCATAAAAATTAAAAATTCTAATTACTCTTTAAAACTCTATAAGTGAATTTTTATCATCAAGTTGACTATCAGTTTATTGTTATTGACTGATTTTTTAAACTGATTGGATTGCATTCTAACTACCGAAATACAAACCCTTAATTGAGATTATCTAGTTTTTGTTTACAAACAATATCTCTTAGTTTACTTTATAGCATTCAACACATTAATTTCCATGTGCTATTTTTATTAAATAAAATGAAAATAAACAAAGAATACAAATATTCACTATTATTGCTATCATTATTAATATTATCTATTATTATTCATAATTATTCATTATTAAATTTATTGTTATTAACTATTATTATTTATCTTTATTATTGCAAGTTCTCATGCCTATATGAGAGTTTACTTAACAAATCAATGATGTTATATTTCGATAGTTTTGATAAAAGAAGTCGAAAAGAAATAACGTTGCTTTAGGAGGACCACTACAAGTTAATGAAGCAAAGATTGATTCAAGAGTGGTGCCACTTATTTATGGACAAAATACAGTGAACCAAGCACCATATGTGGCACAAAGTGCTCAGCAACCAAATTTGGAAGAGAGTAACATTGCTTTAGAAGAACCATCTCAGGTTGATCAAACAAGGATTGACTCAAGAGTAGTGCCATTTATTAATGAACACAGTACAGTGAACGAAGCACCATATGTGGCGCAAAGTTCTCAGCAATCAAATTTGGAAAGGAGTAACGTTGTTTTGGGAGGACTACTACAAGTTAATCAAAGAAGGATTGACTCCAGAGTATTGCCATTTATTTATGGACAAAAAACAGTGAATCAAGCACCAATTATGATACAAACTTCTCAGCAACCATATATGGCACAAACTGCTGAACGAGCATATATAGCACAAACTGAGCAACCATGTATGGCACAAAATTCTGAGCAACCATGTATGGCACGAACTTCTCAACAACCAATTCATTTCCGATTGCCAAAAACGGAGGCACAAATTGTGCAGCCAGTTAATGGTGCCCCAGCATCTGGATGTGGTAATTACGGTGTTGGTAACGATAATATACCTTGTTCAGATTGCTCAGCAACTTCTTGTTTCATATCCCCTTGTAAATATTATTTTGATTTTGAATATATTAAATTTTATCATGATGCTGCAATTTTCGATGGAAAAAATTTTTGTTTTGAATTTACCAGTTTGTCATTATATCGAATTATCTAAATTTTTTAATGACACTTCATATTCTAAAAGTAATATATAAATATGAAAAGTTTTTTTAGGCTGTTGCTGCTCGATTTGTAAGTTTTCTTTTGCATTATCTTTTTGGTATCCAAGATTATCTAAATAGTTTATATTGATTAAGTATAGTAGATGAGCAAATAGCTAAAGTATAAAGTTTTTTTTAGTCATGAATTTTAAAATTAGCTAGCATGTTCTATGTCGTTAAGAGTAGTACTAAATGATGGTTTCAGCGAAGAATAAAGTGCAAAATTACTGATGAGACTTCGACATCCGTGCAGCTAGAAATTCTGGAATCAGTGAATATATGCATTTTATTTCTTTTCTATGTTTCATTTTCGGTTACTCATAAATATAGAAAAATACTTGTAATTTTTGGTCTCCGAGACCAACATCATATTCATGTTCACAATCTTGTTGTCATTTAAAAGCATGAACATCTTAATCAGAAGAAAAAGTGATAGATTTGGATTCTCTCGACGGTGACTGCATTATCCAGGCACATGTTGATTAATTTGAATTATTGCAGAGACAAAAGTTGAATGTTGAATGAAACAATTATGGTGTACTGTTATATGACTATGGAAGAAGCGAATGCAGTCCTCACGCAATGTAATGTTTCGACTCTAAATATGTTTTGAAATTTATGTGAATTTGCTTTCAATAGTGATATTTTGTTAACTAGGTTTTTTCAAGATACTGTAAAAACTTATATTTGTTATTTATTTGTTCATTTGTTCAGCTTAAATTTGACAAATCCGTTCATCTAAATGATCTTGTCCTGAGCATTAGAAAACATATTTGTTTTGAAATTATGATGCACTTTCATTCAGATCCAAAGACCGACCAAGATTTATGTGACTACCTACTATCACTATGACTGAGAATTGCATTTTTAATCTTTGAATTCAGTTGGCAAAAGCTGAGTGTTGGATAAAAGTTTACTTCGTTTTTATGAAAAATTCTGTACTCCAACAACCATCAGCATGTTAAAACTTCTTATACTCATGTGAAAACAAGTGAATTCAATGATCACTAAACTTCTAATAAAGTTTTTGAAGTGTCCAGCTTATGGTCCAAAACTGAGTGCTCAAAGTGGTTGATGCAGTGAATATTACCAGTGCACATTTCTGATTTCCTGCACCGAACATTTTCTGTGTAGTGAGAAAAAGACTTTTTCCTGTACTGATGAATTAACCACATGCAGTCACAATTTATTCCAGATAATCAGCAAAATTAACACTCTAATACTGACCAAGCTTTTTCCGTATCCAGTATTACTTGTATACGTGCCAAAAATTAATAGTGCCAATCTTAATTCTTGTAAGCTTTTAGTTTTTGGTGACCATGAGAATATTTAAAAACACATTTAGAAGCAAGTCAGAACGCATATACTCAACACAAATACATGATGTAAAGTAGGTGAAAAACAAGATAATAATGAGGAACAAATGGGTGTGACAACTGCAGAGGCACTTTTGGGTCATCCTTTTTAGGTCAAACTAAAACACACCCAAATGGATGATGCTTTCATTGTTTCATCAATTCTTGCCTTATTCCTAACGTTAAACCTTATATTTTCGTACTTCATTCCAACATAATTCCTTTCATAAAGTGTCTTCCAAATTCATTAATTTCATTGCGTAATCAAACGAAAGGAATTATTATTCAATAAAATAATCAATCTTTGACTTGAAAAAACGATTTGCAGTAATTTTCACAAACTGCAGTAAATTCGATTAGTTCACTTCTATCATCTGCCTTATTTATTTTTCTATCTACCTATGGCACAATAAACAGTACTCAATACCCAGCACATTCACGCACACCCACATACACAGATACATGCTACGTACAAGAATGCAAGCACACACATGTATAGAGTCAATAGTTCTTACCAATATCATAATACGACCTCATGTATTATCTACAAGCGCAAGTCACCACTTAATTAATACTTGCAGTTCTCCTGAATGCGCAATCTTTGGCTACTCTTCGTGATCTTTTATAAAGCAAAAGCAGAATTCCAACACAACCGTATGTTGCTTCTCTAAAAATTTTTTAAAATTCAATACTTTTAAATAGATTATTAATCATAAATAAATTCTAATATAACTTTTAGCTACACTCAATTTACATATAAAATATATTCAAACTTGCAGAGTTCCGACGGTATACATGCTTTATCACAAATGATGACGAGCCATCTGACTGCACGTTAACATTTAAGGACGATACAGAAAGAACAGCAATCAATGACAATGGCTGCTTCACTGTGAGCTTCCTATTTTCAAAAATTTTTATTAATGTCGTCACTGTCCAATCCTGCACAGTAAACAACAAACACATCAATATAATTCGAAAAATTGCAGAACTGTAGTTTCAGTCTTTTAGGAAAAAGATGCAACACGTGATCAGGTTCTAACATACTGCCCGCTGCAATGTCCAGAAGCTGAATCAGCTTACGTGATGTTAAAGCATCCCTCAAACAACAACAAATGTTTGGCATTCTTCACATATAATGTTACTCGGCGCAAAAATGACTGGTTTTTGTGGCGATCCGGAAAATGCCTCTTTGAAGAAATACAATTCGATATTGGTTGCACATTTCCATTTAAGAAAAACACAAATTTAAGCACTGTTAGGCAGGAGGTAGGAGATGCGAAATGAAACATCTGGTACTTACTAAAAGACGGTTTCTTACAGCTCTTTGCTGAAAACCATGAGTTAGTGACATAAGTTATTGACAAAGATGAATTCCGTTACACAAAACGAATCCATTAGATAGAGAATTACATAAAATTTTTAGAACAGTAGAAATCTATGCGCAACCGCACGTCTAGAATTTATCGTAGGAACTATTTAACTCTCCATATAATCAATTATATGTTGAATTCTGATGACCATGTTGAAAATTCTTTTATGCACCAAGATGGTTCCAATCAAGATCAAAATCAAATAACTCTAATACCAAAGCATGCTGTATGTATTTGTTGTACAATTTGATTATTTCTGTATTAATCATATGTCGGACTGATCATAAGTATTTTAACTATCAAATAAACAATGCATCGCAAACACAAAAAGCATCTAGCCTCAGCCTGAAAAATTATATTTTTTTGTGCCATTGCTGCGTACATACGTCGCAAAAATCAGCTACAAAAATGAAAATTATTTAAGATGCACATCACATTAATTATTCCCCTATTTTATGTAAAAATTAAAATTAACGAAAAGAGAATGAAATTTTAATGAAAATTTCTACTGAAACCATTAATCTTCACCTTCTCAGAATTCTCCAGACTCATATTTCAGTTCAAACAGCATACAAACCTCAAATGCTAATGAATAAACCAAAAAAAAAATTCCTTCCTGACTTAGACACAAAACCAGATCACCTTATCGACCGTAGCATTCAATCTGTCAATTCCTGAATTTCAAGCGCTTTAATGACTTTTATAGAACTAGCTCTCACTGATCATTCCTACTTAATAAATCGCCCAACTTTTCTGCAAAACACAATGCTTCACTACCTTTGTTTATAGTGCCTTTCCACTGTTTAACACTGACCAGAAATAGAAACACAAATTTAGTCCAAACAAATTTGACAGAGACATCTATATACTTAACATTCATTTATTCTGACGAAGTAAATCAAAGTACAACAGTAGATATGACCTACATAAGTATAAGATTCCAAGTTCAGACTTGTTTACAAACACGATGGGAGATGACAAAAGTCAATGGATGTCAGTGATATTAGTTCAAAGTACTGTCAATACTGTTGAAGCTACGAGCTTAATCTGTCCTTACACGGAGTTTAAAACTCTTGAACATTAAGATAACTGTGCTTTACTAATGAAATACTATTTCATCATCTTTAGACTGAAAAACTACAACTCTTCCATGAATTATAACCACGTCTCAAGTAATCAGTCAAGTTGGGATATCTAAGAAGCAGTGGATTATATTTGCCACCATTCCAAAATACATATATATTAGTGACTCAAGCGTTGCCAAACTCAGTCAATCAATAAGAATAATGCCCACACTCCCAGGCAATCTATACCATTCAGACATAATATCATATGAAAATTTGAAGACAGCCTATAGTCGACTTCAGCAAGTATGCGACGGTAAAAAAAATATTTCCTTCCACGTACGACGAGTTAAACGTAAATTAAGATCTATCTCCTACTGCATCTTATAAATAATTGTAGAGTATATATTGAACTCGAAACGAAGAAATTTTATACGATAAAAGCAAAACATTAAATATCTTATCATTACCGTAAAGTGGAAAAAAAAACACCATAAAAACATCTCCTTTCTGAGGCATAAACATACAAAATTATTAAACCGATTCAATAACTGACAAACAGATTCCAACTTGTTATTTTAACCAATATGACTGCCGATAGTGATAGAGCACCCATATCTTCAAAACCACCCCGCATCATTGCATTTCTAGAGCCTTCCCATTCCCAATCAATATATGTGACTCAAACGTTGCCAAACTCAGTCAATTAATCAGAATAATGCACACATTCCCAGACAATCAATACCATTCAGACATATTAAATGAAAAACATAATCATAATATCTGCAGGACTTCTCCAAATATTTGCTGACAATGGAGATTGAGTCTGCATACGCAAGCAATTTCATCCACCAAAACCGTAAAGTGTACGTCCTTGACGTTTCAGTGCATATACGACATCCATTGCCGTAACTGTCTTTCGCTTAGCATGCTCACAGTACGTCACAGCGTCACGAATTACATTTTCCAAGAAAACCTACAAAATGGCTCGCGTATTTTCTTGCTACTCACAAGATTGCACTAGTGGCTGTTTCCGAGCTATTTAGTAAAATAACTTTCTAAATAATAACATTAGGAAGAATTACCTTCAGAACACTACGTGTCTCCTCATATATGAGGCCAGAAATACGCTTGACACCACCACGTCGAGCCAAACGTCGAATGGCTGGTTTTGTTATCCCTTGTATATTATCACGAAGGACCTTACGATGACGTTTAGCACCTCCTTTTCCAAGTCCCTTACCACCCTTACCGCGTCCAGACATAATGAAACTGCGATAGAACTGAAATTCTTCCTCACCTACTGTATTTCAAAAATTAAGATTACACCCACCACGCCAACCCCACCTTAAATCAAACAATGCGACCACACAACCACCCCACATGATGGCATATGTGAGAATATTGACCAGCATCAACCTCGAAATAAAAAACAAGACCAAACAGTGCTTTGTGCTACACAAAGTGCTACATAAATTGTAACGGAATGAAACTTACAATCTCAACTGTACTATTTTTGTGTTAGTTATTTAACTGTTAGGACTTGATTGATGATTATTATATTAACAGCCTACAGTTATTGAAAATGGAGAAGTTAAAATTATTATACGAGAACATTGCGTTGACCTCTGTTCTTACTAGCTTGTTGCATTCATGTTTATTGAACGTAACATGAATGAATTTTTATCTGCCATGCAGTCTTCTCGTTTGTCTAGTTTCTGAGAATCAACATTGAGCAGCTATTATCTCGTTCACTTGCAGCGTGGAAATCAATCGAATGAGTAGGCAAACAGTTGTATCTTTGATTTTTAACGGCTGCTAGCAAAAAATGCATTATAATTATTTAGCAGGTTTAACCGTGCCAGTTAGATCTATAGAATTTGTTAAAAAGCATACTTGCATTTATTCCTTATATACTAAACTCTTCCGAACGATGCAGTTGTTACATATTATTTTAGTACATGACGGCAGTAGAAGATACAGTTTTCATGCATCATGAAATTTACTTACATATGCTGAGAATTATAGGAAACAACAATAATTGTTATTTCAAGAACTCTAGACCAGAGTACTTTTTGGCTGTTTGAATCTAAACCTGAAAAAAATTGCATGAAGCGTTACTTTTTATCTATTGGAAACAAGAAGAAAATCATTTGTTGCAAACGAACACTGTTTTCAATTGCTGGCGTCTGAAAAGGGCAAGTATATCTATCGGTTGACAGACATTTAGTTCACAGTTACTTTGATTAATTAAAAGTTGAATGGTCGATGTTGTTACTACTGGTATTTTCGTGATGTTTGTGACTCAGGAGGAAGTTTTCAGTTGTTCAATAATAACTATTTCCTTCAGGCATTGCATTTCGTAACATTTCGTCCTGCAGTTGTTGAGGAAAGCTCAATCATATAGTTATCACTGTAGATAATGCTGAATGATTACATCAGACAAACCTTGCTGATATTATTCTTGTAGCGAATTATTTCTGGATCTTACTGAATTATTTGCATCCATCATACACTTTTGCCATAGTACGTCTGAAATGGGTGAAAAGTATAAAGGACGGTATGGACATTTGAATTTACCGTGTTATTTCTTTAAAATTTCATAATCGTACATCAGATAACTTCCAGCAGTGTTAATAAGAAATTAGAATGCCAAATGCCAAAAGCGAAATCTTTGTAAAATTTCAAGTGCATAAATTAGTATAGAGAATAATCTATGTATCTTTTTTCATAATTCATTGACTTCTATTTTGCTAACATAAAGCATATGAAGCACAAGTTATTTTGTATCCATGTTGTTCATCGTAATGCCAGTTTTGTAAAATTTAGCATTGAGAGTTCGTGCATGTTCGCTGTCATAATTCATTCATGTAGGGTTATTTATCCTTGTGTTATGTGCATTTCAGTCTTCATTGGCTAATTAATATTTCAGGGTATCGCGATTAGAAAGAGTTTTATTGTTAGAAAATGCACGGATAAATCTAGCCGATTTGAGACTCTGCTGTAGTTTTGGTAGTTTATTTGTGACTTCAACACTAAACACTACAGTTAATATCAGTTTTTAAAGCTTCTTGTACAAACCCCTTTGACCTTGTTTTAAAGAATATTGATTCAAGTTATTCCTTATCTTTACATTGAAAAACCAGTGCTCTTTGAATTCCATGGCATCACTGTTCCTTTCTTAAGAATATTGAACTTTATTTTAGAGGTAGTAATTTCATGTCCATTTATAATTTTTTACTTTCCACAAATGATACGCAGATCAGATTAATTAAGGTGTTCCTGACTCCTTAAGACCCTTGTGTTGGCGCCTGCTTCTTGGATATTTACCAGTAGAACGACAACAGTGGCCCATTCACCTGCGAAAACAACGTGAATTTTACAACGTTCTTGTGGAAGATGTAATCGTGAATCCTGGCGTATCGTTTGTGGAAGGAAATCAGCAGTCTACCGACGATCACGTGTGTAGTTTTATTTTGATAGCTTAATTTAACTTTTAAAAATGTGGAATTTTTGATTGCACGTATTCTATGCAATATTTTGACTAGGAATCAGGTATGACTGATTAGTTTTGCTAAAATTTGTATGCTTTTCAGCCATTAAGTCTAAATCCAAGTAGTCAGTGGAATAATTATTTCAAAGATAATGAAGTATTGGCTCAGATAGACAAAGATGTTCGTCGGCTTTGCCCAGAAATTGACTTTTTCCAGCGCATTACTCCATATCCTCATCGGTAGGTAGCGTTCTCTAACTAAGCAAATTCCCTGTTGGGTATAAATTGTGCACATCTTGTACTGTAAATTTTAGTAGTTTTTTGGTGGTTAGGTTTTTTATACTTTATATTTCTGTAGCTTTATAAATTACAAATTTCGTTCATATGCTTTTTTTGACTTGTGACATAAATTGTTTATGCTACTTTTAGTAGCTTGCATTTGCTCCAAATCTTATATAACAAATTCAGTCGTTCGTGAATTATTATTGTACTTTAAGGTTGGCAGCAGAAATAAATTTGTCACGTCGTATACATCATGTGAGCCTCCTTTCTGAAGTTCCTTCAAGCAATCATTTTACCACTGCTAATGTTAGTTTTAGGTTATTATTTCAACTGTCTTGATTTTTACTGATTTAGTTGTTTCCTTGTGCAGTGTTTTGAGTTTACTCTTCTTCCAGTTTATCGCTTGGCCGACCAAAACAGCTAAAAAAGAGTATTCAAATGTTGTAGATGATAACGTTGAGTATCACTGGCAAGTGGTTGAAAGAGTGCTGTTTATATACAGTAAACTCAATCCAGGAGTCAAGTATGTGCAGGTGATTAGTTTTATTGATATTCTCTCTATCATGGTTGTTCTTGTTCTCTTTTATTTTTATTTCTTGATGTGGAGTTTAATATTAATTGTTTAGGGAATGAACGAAATTGTGGGCCCATTGTATTATGTGTTTGCTAGTCATGCGGATAGTGAATGGGCGGAGTTTGCAGAGCCTGATACGTATTATTGTTTTCAAATATTGATGAGTGAAATCAAGGACAATTTTATCAAAACTCTTGATAGTTCCAATTGCGGTATCGGTAAGCTTACTTTCAGTTTCGCTACTATTATTCTAAAAGTTCAAAAATTCGTTTCCAAAGTTTTAAGTTCTACGTTTGTTGAATTTGGTTTCAGTGTTCCATAAAGAACTTTTTCACGCCTTGGAAAATCAATTTCTGAAACTATCATCTGTACAGCATAAGTTCTTAAGCATTTTATGGTTTCAGAAATCTCTCTTCGATTATTTATTGAGTTTATTTCCTTTGGCATTTTTTTTAATAATTGAAGTATGACAAAAAAAGTAAAATTGTCTTATGAAAGATAGCATAAAAAATTTTTCATACCTACCTTCTGAATTTTTCATGATATTTCAAGTTTTATATCTAGTTGTTCTTCTTAAAGAATCGCTACTGGCTGAATTTAACAAAAAATTACGACATTGCGATAATGAAGTTTATCAACATTTGATCGATGTGGGTATCCAGCCTCAATTTTATGCTTTTCGTTGGCTTTCCTTGCTTTTATCCCAAGAATTTTCTCTGCCAGGTGAATTTTTCCTTCAAAGCATTGCATTTTTGTAATTTTATCGTATAATCTTTTATAATTATCAGATGTAATGAACATATGGGATTCTTTGTTTGCTTCACCTGACCGTTTGCAATTTCTTCATTGGATATGCTTAGCAATGATGGAGAAAATTCGTGACCAGCTACTTGAAGGAGATTTTACAGCCTGTCTTAAAATGCTACAGGTATTTGATTCATAGAAAAATGACATATTTTCGTAGGTCTATTGACAGTAGCGAAAAGCAGTGCCAGAAAGTACAGAAAATGCTCATTTAAATTATAGAACAGTCGACCGAATCATGATCGATCTATTTCAACAATTGATTCTCATTTTTCTAAATCGTAATATTAGGAAATTTATGCGCTATGAAAAATTTTATTTTTCATCTGAAAATATATTTCTTTGAATAGTCGTATTCCTTATATGCGATTAAAGCATAGTTTATGAGAAGGTAAGTAAGTGGTTCTTATTCTGTTCACTTTTCAGAATTATCGGGAAACTGATGTTGGTGAATTGATTGCGGTCGCCCATCAAATGAATAATGGTTGTTATTGTGAAGAAAACTGTAGAAACAGCACGAATAAAAATAACACTGCTTTTAAATCAGACGTGAATTCTTCCATCAAATTAGCGAACGCTTTAACCAATGTTTTGAAAACATTGTCTAAAAAGTAGTAATTCATGCCTTTTTTTTGATTGCCGAAGTGAAAGAAACATGTTTTCAAGGAAAATATTTTTCATATTTTTCACTACTTAAAAAATAGTATTGACCAAATAATTTAACTAGTAAAATAAATTTTCATTGAGTATGCTCTTGATCAGTTACTTTCGCATGTTTTAAAGGAAAGTTTTTTAGACATGCTACTGTTTTGGTGCATAAAAAGGTATAATAAATGGTGAAGTTTTTCACTTCATGAAAGAAGAGCAAGAGTAAGGGTACTCAGTTATAGGAATTTTTTAATAATTCTTGAATTTGTTGCATTCATCTTGGTTGTAATTATGATTTGGTTCTGTAGTTCTTTTTCTTCATTTAATTACCAGAAATTAAAAAAATAACTCATAACGATGCATAATGTTGAGTCATGTGATTTTAATGTTTTTACAATAATGACGGTATGTTTTGTTTAAATATTTACAAATCTATTCAAACAAAATAGCGTTATTTTATATGTTTAATTTAATTGGGAACATTAATTATATATACATATAATTTTAATTGGGAACAGAATTGCACTAACTCACGTACTTCATTTGCTATTTCCACTTTTAAGGCATTTCTGAACTTTCAATCTACAATAAAAAGATTTATTTTCGAAGTCAATTGTAGTATAGTAATTTGCTTATTTGTCTCAATGACATTTATTGGTTGTTGTTTTGTTAAGAAGCACTACACAGTGGAATTTAGTACATCATATTTTTGTTCCATTATTCTGGTGAAAAATTGTCATATAGTTTCTCAAAATTAAAACATATGCACGCTTGCCGCATCAGTTTTGTGGTTTTTTTTCCAAATATCACCTTTCCGAAAAGTTTGATTTCGAAGTGTTCTAGAATTCTATTAACAGACTGATGAATTAGTTTGTTACAAAATATAGTCATAAAAGATGTGGGAATGTTTCAAGCATTTAGAGCATGGTGTAGTGTAGTATCTGATGGACAGCACTCGGTTTATGTCCTATTGCTGGAGGTTAGGTCGAGTTTGTGTGTACGTGAAATAAGTTATAGGAATTATCATTGCTGGAAAAAAGTATTGCAATACTATTATGTTTAAGTAGGGTCGGATTTAGGGGTTGTATCACTTTTATATTTCTCAAGAGAGATTTTCTCTTAATTAAGCTTGAATTACAGGTGGCCTCACTCTAATCGGAAACGAAACTCGTTATAGTTTACTTGCTAACACCTTCTCTGCTTGCGGCTTTGTTCATACTTTATTATTTACTAGCAATTATAAATAAGAATGAGTAATGAATTCAAACAAGGAAGTAGCTGCGCAACTCCAATTGGGGATAGTCAAATGACTCCGGCGCAAGGTGTCGCTACGCCACAGCAAAAAACTGTTGGGCGTGTTCAGGGGTCTACTCCTTCCAGTATGTTTCTTTATTATGATTATTATGAGCGAAGAGATCAGAGTTTAAGAATTTCCTTCAGATTCTGTTTCAAACACGATTACAACGCAAAGTGTAGCACCCCAGTTTGCGATTGCAGCTCCGCACAGTATCTCGCACAATGCTAATCCGGAGGTAAAACTTTTTTAATTAGGTTGCGGCATCATTGAACTTCATGTTCTTTGTTTTTAATACAATAAATTAGTCTTCACAGATTACGTCATTTCTAGGTTTTATCAGCATTCGAATGCCCTGTTTGTATGGATTATATGATGCCACCTTACCTGCAATGTCAGAGTGGTCATCTTGTATGTGGAAATTGTCGTCCTAAGCTAACATGTTGTCCTACCTGCAGGGGTCCAGTTCGTATGTTTTAAGGTCATTTAGGCAGAAGAATAACTTTTTTTCAAATAGCAGAATGTATCATAATTCAACTAATATAATTTCAGTAGTCCTCGAAAACGTTGTACTTATTTACAGCTAGTGTTCGAAATTTGGTGCTAGAAAAAATTGCTAATACAGTAATGTTTCCTTGTAAATTTGTGGGCTCGGGTTGTCCATTAACATTTTCGCACGTTGAAAAGGTGGAACATGAAGAAATTTGTGAGTTCCGGTATGATTTATTCTCTTTCAAAAATTCACTATTTGATATTATTAATTTGAATTCATTTATCATGTTTTGGTAATTTTTCTAACAGCAATAAATGTTGGACGTTTGTCGTCGATAAAGTATGTTTGCATGAATGTGAAACGATTTTTGTTGCGAATTTCTTTTCTAAGCTGTTTTTAGCCCATATTGCTGTCCATGTCCTGGAGCATCGTGTAAATGGCAAGGAAATCTGTCGGAAGTCATGGGTCATCTTATGAAAGTTCATAAATCTATAACGACTTTGCAAGGTTACTTCTATCAATGGTCTGTTAAGAAATATAAAATCTGTTTGCTGTCAAGCTTGTATCTCATAGTTTTTAGTTCTGGTTTCTTTCATAACTAGAGAATATTGTCTCATTCGACTGATCTCTCTTTTTAGTACTTAATGAAGTTCAGCAACGTCCGACTTCACATTTTTTCAGAACAATTAGGTCTCTCTTCCAAATTTATCTCCTTTACAGGGGAAGATATTGTTTTTTTGGCTACTGATATCAATTTACCTGGTGCTGTGGATTGGGTAATGATGCAGTCTTGTTTCGGTTATCACTTCATGTTAGTGCTGGAGAAACAGGAGAAGTTTCAAGATGGTAATCAAATGTTCTATGCGGTGGTGCAGTTGATTGGTGCCAAAAAAGAATCTGAGAATTTTATGTATCGGTGAGAGATAATTTTAGTAGATTTTAGCATTCATTCCATGATTTAGTACCGTATTTTCGTAACTATATGCTTTAGAAATGCCTCTTATCCAAAATTGTGTACCAACTCGACTAACGAAGTTGTCTTGTCTTTCAACATGAGTCCATTCAGCAGTTGGAATGGCACAGAAATAACCAATCTTGCTGACTGCATGATAATTAATATTAATTGACTGATAATTTATTGTCTGTTTTTTGTAATGGAGCAGTTGACAAGGATTTGTGTTATCAAATCATTACTTTGAAATCACTGATTATAATGCGGAGGTACTTGCAGTGATTTACAAATATTGGATGTACTTCAAAGATTCTTCATTTGCTCTCAGTTTAAATTTATTTTAGGCTTGAATTAGCTACACATGGGCGTCGTTTCAGCTGGGAAGCTTCTCCTCGTAGCATTCATGAAGGTGTTGCACATGCTATCTCGCTATCGGATTGTATGGCATTCGACAGCCAGACGGCTCAATTGTTTGCCGAAAATGGTAATCTCGGTATCAATGTAACGATATCCATGGTGTAAACGTACTCGATATGAAAACTTATGCAATCTTACCTTTGAAAATAATTTTTGGTGGATTTTGTACACAGTAGATGAATGTTGTCACCGTTTCCTGTACTAGTACTTTCCTCACTCACATTGCCGTTATCCAACATTCAATGTTTCATTTAATTGCAAATGATTCAAACTTTGTGAGAAAAGAATTGGCTTTAGCATGTAATTTTTTAGTGATAGCGATTGTGAGAGAAGTTTAAACCAATGATTGCAACTGCACTTAAATCTCTTTGATGGAGAGATAGTAGTACTCTTGTAGAGAACGATTCTAAAGAGAACTGATTAATGGTGGTTTTGTGGTTCAGAACAGTCTCGTCTACACCATTTCATTTGCTGGTCAAAAAAAGGATTATTAGTTTAAATGACAGTCTGTATTAATCTTTACTAGGATGGAATTTTAGGGATTCAAGTGTTATATTCATCATATGCGATGAAGTTGTATTAAATTCAAACGTTTTCGTTGCAGTGCAATGTCTGATATGTATCACAGCGCATGTATCCCAAAATATTCTCCTCAGCAGTTGTTTCGAGTAAGGTCATCTCTAGTGACTACATTTCAATTTTTATCAGTTGCAACATTCTAGTGCGCGGAACTTTTCGACTCATTCCCAGCCATACTTCAGTCCTTTTACTGTGTTCCTCATATGTTATAATTTCCAAATACCACATATTTCAACCGCGATGATTCGTGCATGAAAATGTCTTAGAACTTTGAAAAATGACATTCTCGTAACTCCAAAACAGTGCGGACCATCTACCTAAAGAAAATGTCGTTCCCAGTCTTAATGTCTGGGATGTTGTTGGAGCCATCATTCTAAGTTATCGCCAGTATCGGTAATGTTTTGTGAAAGATTACACAAAAGCTCAGAGGGGTTATTTACAGTCCTGTCAAGATACTGTCACTTTGATATAGTAAGTTGGCATTTACTCATTTTTCAGCTGGTGTGTGAACGAGTATGACGTAATCGCATCTATTGTAAATGAACGTTCCGTATGTAAATTAGTCACCATACGCTTGTTTGTGCTTTGTATCCAGAATTTCAATCTTCATTGAACATTAAATGTGGATGACATAATGCCTTCTATACCAAACTTCACACGATCACCAGACTTAAGAGCTGTGACACCGCGTGGTGTGCCAGTAAGAAGCAAATCACCTGGTTCCATGGTAATATATTTAGTCAAACTCTCAATAAGTGTTGGGATATCAAAAATCATAGCGTCTGTCCGGCTACGTTGCTTCTCGACTCCGTTTACGAAACAGAATATTTCAACATCATGTGGATTTGGGATTTGACTGGCATGAATAAAAGATCCTACTGGACAGGATGTATCGAACGACTTTGCTAAAAACCAGGGTGATCCAGTCTTCTTTGCATCGTCCTGTAATTGCCAAGGTTTCTCTTGAAGTTTTTACGAAGATGCAATATACTACTCGGCTTTTATATATTTGTTTTTGATTGTTAACGCAAACTTAGATTTTTTTACTGTATCATTCAGGCATGCATATGACATCAAGTACACACTAAGAAACATTTGAGGAAAGGAACAAAATATCATTGAAAATAACCTGGAAATCTCTGGCTGTCAAGTCCAGCGCCACAGTATATCCACCAATGTAGCTGAGCGCCTGTTTATGTGAAACACGCTTAGCAATTTTACTGAATATCACACCGAGTTCCACTTCTTGGTGCAGTATATTGCAGCCACTGGGTGGAATAATAACTTCTCCTTCAGATATATAACTACTTGTCGCTTTCATAAAAAACAAAGGCTTCTTTGGTACGGGGTTACCAAGTTCCAGAGCATGTTCCTACCGAGTAAGAATTTCATAGTTACAAACAATCCCCAAAGTATCTTATTGAGATTGGAAGCTTAAATTGGATCTGTAGAGTAGCTCTATTAAAAATTTTTAATTAAATTTAAATCAAACCTTATAATTTCTACCAACGCAAACGATCTTTTTGCCAAGGGAACGGAACTGCGATAATTGTGCCATCAATATTGAGCGAGCGAACTTTGCTAACAACGCAGAAAAGTTTTTCGAGCAAACTAAAGAGCGAGTACTAAAGAGCAAGGCACACCTATGAAAATCTAATATCCTACACAGAAATTTTTTAGATTTATTAGTGTGGTAACAGGAGCAATTTTTGTTCGTAGCATTTGCGATATACTTTTTCAATTCTATCTCCGCTTTATCGAAAACTGCCCTAGGAAATGGATTATCGATGACATTATATATCATTAGAAGCAACTGTTGATTGTAGGAGCATATTCTTTCGCATGGAGTAATATATTTACGAGGACTAGTATGTATTATTAGTGTAAATATTTGATTGATGATAAGATATATACTTATCTCAGAACTGTAAGAAGGATTAGTCAACAAGGATCTAGACTGAGAATATACTAAGTAAAGTGAGAATGAGTCGACCACTTGCTGTTTCTTTTAAATTTTTTCAACTTCAACCTGTCAGTGTCATTCGTTTATTTATGCAAGAAATTTCTTCAGCACACAATTCAAGATTTCAAAGCATCATAGTTAAAAAAAATACTGCCTAATAAAATTGCAATAATTTTTTTAATATTCTTTTCAAAGACAAAATAAATGAATAATAATGATGGGTAAGAGATATACATACATTGTGCAATTTACTGATGAGATACGTAGACGAGAAAATACGAGTGTCAAAAATTCTGATAGCAGTAAGCGCAAAGATCACAATACGTATTAATGAAAAAATTTAGTAAGCACTAATAAACTCTAAAAAAAGTACTTAAAAAAAATATACAATGAATCATTTTATGATGTGAGATGAAATATTATGTCTTTTTTTCAATGATGCAGAATGAAAAAGAAAAGGATAGTTGAAAGAGTTGTAATTGAAACAAAATTTTAATACAAATTATAGAGCAAGGGATTAGGCTGGAATTTTGACGCAACGCTTTCGATCATTACTTTGCTTAGATTTACGAGATTCATTTTGTTTTGCAGATTTGAAATTCTGCTAGGAACATTGACATACTTGGTATTGTTTCGATAAGTGTTGCTTGAATGATTATCCTCAACACATTCTACTACATTTTTGGCTCCATCTTCCTGAAATAAATGGATTAAGATTTCGAAAATACTTTAGGATGCTTAAGTAGACAGATCACTTTCTGTATTTTTTGAAAACAATTTAGATAAGTAGGAATTAAATTGCTGTAAACAGCTTAGTATCTGATAATCTCAATTTGTAGCTAAGTGCTTCAAAAAAAATGGATCATAGTCTGAAAAAATAATATCTATCTGCGTATATGATATCAAATCACTATCACACGGAGATTATTATTCTTTTCTTCATTATTGATTCTGGCGCTGAGTCGTATTCAGGCATTTTTACTGCACTCGTCCCTCGTTCAGTTCTGCTGTGCTGATCTTTGCTGCTTCGTCCTCGTCGAATCCACGGCGCTGATCGAATGAGATGCTTTCGAGCATTTTCTGGAGCACTATCGACTGAATATATGTCTCAACGTGATCAGATATACTGATTTCCTTCGCGTAACGATTGTGGAAATTCGTCACTATCCGATCCTAAGTCATCACATACGGAACATTTTCTCACACTGCGTTGCTAGATGGTCCACCGTCTTCACACGTTACCTACAATGTTGGCACATACCTTTCTCAGTTCCAAACATATTTCTGTCTTGAAGGTGACAGTATCGCGCTTCATTCTGTGGCGTAATATTTCCAAATCGTAGCCACATTGATGAGTTTGACATCGAGGCTAGCTCATTTC